TTCTCTATGGTGAAAGAAAAAATGAATTTGAAATTAGCAGTTGTTCCGGCAAGCTATGAGACCGTGGAGAAACACTTGGAGAGGTCAAATATGCATGTTGAGAACGACGGCTATTGTGTGATATGCATGGAGAGGATCCGGGTTGGGTCAAATATTCAACAAGGTCAAATATCGTATTTGTGAGTGCTTCATCACACGTGTGGAACGAAGAGGTTTAGGAGTGCTGGGATTTTTCATGTATGTCGTGTCCTGTTTCTGGCTTAACCCTAAAGCTCGGGTAAACCATTAAACTCTAATTCTTATGCTAAATGAGTTTGATAATGTAATGAATTGGATCATTGCTTTTTGTGTTGTTATCTTCACTTTCTTTAATTTATCTATATAGGTGCATATAACTGAGATTCTTAGTCTTTTGTCTTTTCTTGTCCTTTTGTCAAATTTGTTCTTGACTTACTTTTCAATTTAAACTAGATGATTTTCTGTGCTATTTGCGGACAAAATATTTTTACATGTTTTCAAAATATCAAATCAATTAGAAAAGAGAAATTTCAAAAAATGCCACTTTTCTAGTATCACTTTACAAAAATGTCATACTACTTTTGAAATCTTTACAAAAATGCCAATTTTTCAAAATTATTTTTTCTTTATATTATTTATATTTGGGTTAACTATGTTCTATTAGGGTTTAGTTATGAGGGTTTAGTGGGGTTTATGGGTCAAAACATTTTTTAGTGTTTAGAATTTTAAGATATAGGGTTTAAAAATCTATAATTAATGGCATTTTTGCAAATGAACATCTCTAAGTGGTATTTTTGCAAATGTGCATATAAAAATATAGTATTTTTGCAATTTCTCCACTATAAAAAGTCATTCATACCATTGCCAGTGGTATTCAATCAAAATTTTGGTTCAACTTAAATTTTCTGAGTTTTTAAGAATTTTAGTTTATGAATAACAGTATCAAAAGTAAACCAAAAGTGATACATACTGACATTTTAAACCTCCAAAACTTTTAATGAGCACTTTAAACCTCCAACGTGACATTATTCACACTATAACAATATTTATAATATGTATAACATAACAATTCATTTTCGGTTTAAAAGTGATGAATTTTTT